AGTAGGATATGTAATAGGAATGTCAAACTCGATGTCAAACTCATATTTGAGGAGATCATGGATGTACCAGCATTTTCCAAACCACATACTCTTAGCAGGAACTGAACCCCGGTCTCTCCGGACTGCAGGCCAATGCTCTAACCGCTGAGCCAAACCAGCCAGGGCTGGCATGGCTCCGCCGCTCATGCCCAGCCGTGGTCTATAGGTATAATTTTGATTCATTCACACTGGATGGCTGTTTTTGTGTTGACCGTTGCCATTTTTTTATTTGACAATCTAAGGGAAAAGAGGTCAGTGACCCTGACTAAATAGTCAGGTATTTCATGTTTTAAAAATTCTCATGGTACATGGGTTGAAAATTGCTATTATAGAGTTGTAAAATACCCAGATCAATAGTAAATAGGAATAAAAAATATTCACCCACTAGAAAAGCAGCTAATTCCCAGGCTTGGAAGAACCTGATTTATATCAAAAGGTCACCTTGTAATCACTGTGCCTACCTACAAGTTTTGGATAAATTTTTTTTTAACTCTTTATTGTTGAATGTAAAATGTATTACAGATGTTCCACATTTTTCCCCCATTGACCCCCTCCTCCCCACTCCTGCCCCCCTCCCACCTTTTCCCACAGTATTGTCTGTGTCCATTGGTTATGCATATAAGTTCTTTGGTTTATTTCTTCCCACCCCCCAACCCCTTTCCCTTTGAGGTTTGTCAGTCTAGCAATGAATTTGTACTTCTTAATCTCTTCACCTTTTTTACCCATTCCCCCAAGCCCCCTCCCATCTGGCAACCAACAAAATGTTCTCTGTATCTATGAGAATGTTTCTGTTCTACCGGTTCATTTTGTTTGTAGATTCCATTATTGATAAATATGCATTCATTGCCACTTTGTTTGTTCATATATTTTATCTTTTTCTTCAAAAAGACCCTTCATCATTTCCTATAATAACGGTTTGGTGGTGAGGAACTCCTTTACCTTTTTCTTGTCTGGAAAGTCTTTATATGGCCATAGATTCTAAATGACAGCTTTGCAGGATAGAGTAATCTTGGTTGTAGGTTCTTGCTTTTCATCACTCTGAATATTTCTTGCCACTCCCTTCTGGCCTGCAAAGTTTCTTTTGAGAAATCAGCTGACAGCCTAATGGGAACTCCCTCGTAGGTAACTAGCTGCCTTTCTCTTGCTGCTTTTAAGATTCTCTCTTTGGCCCTGGCCGGTTTGGCTCAGCGGTTAGAGCGTCGGCCTGCGGCCCGGAGAGACCCGGGTTCGGTTCCCACTAAGGGCATGTACTTCGGTTGCAGTTTGTCCCCGGCCCTGGTTGGTCATGCGGGTGGCAGCCACTCGATGTGTCCCTTCACGTTGATGTTTCTGTCTCTCTCTCCCTTCCTCTCTCTCCCTCCCACTCTATCTGTACAAAAAATGGAAAAATATCCTCAGGTGAGGATTAAAAAAAATAAAATAAGATTCTTTGTCTTGAACCTTTTGCATTTTGATGATGATGTGTCTTGGTGTGGGCCTCTTGGGGTTCATCTTGTTTGGGACTCTCTGTGCTTCCTGGACTTGTATGTCTGTTTCCTTCACCAAGTTAGGAAAGTTTTCTGCCATTATTGTTTCAAACAGGTTTTCGATTTCTTGTTCTCGCTCTTCTCCTTCTGGCACCCCCAAGATGCGAATGTTGGCACGCTTGAAGTTGTCCCAGGGGCTCCTTACACTATCCTCATTTTTTTTGGATTCTTTTTTCTTTTTACTGTTCTGATTGGGCGTTTTTTGCTTCCTTATATTCCAAATCAATGGTTTGCTTCTTGGATTTACATACTCTACTATTGAATCTGTGTAAATTATTCTTTATTTCAGTTAATGCCTCCTTCATTTCTGATGTGCATCCATAATTTCTGACTGGTCCTTTTCTATGCTCTTGAGGCCCTCACTGAGTTCATTGAGCATCCTTATAAGCAGTATTTTGAACTCAGCATCTGTTAGGTTGCTTATCTCCATTTCGCTTAGTTCTTTTCTTGGGGTTTTGTTCTGTTCTTTCATTTGGGACCTGTTTCTTTGTCTCCTCATTTTGGCTGCCTCTCTGTGTTTGTTTCTGTGTATTACTTAACGAGCGGTATGGGGCTAGCTGAGACCAAATGCTGCTCATTTGAAAGAATTTAGGAAAAACCTGAAGCAGGATCCAAGACAGGCCAATCCTATGGTTAAGCAAGTGGCAACAGCTTGGGTGGGCCTGAAAGTTGGGTGGGGCGAGGCGGGACCTCAGGGAGTCACCAGGGCGGGGCTACCAGTGTGAGCCAAGTTGCTGGAGTCCCAGATATGGCAGCTGTCTGCTGCCCCAGGGAAGGGCTCACCAAAGGAACAAAGGCCTCTGACAGCACGTTTGTCCCAGAGAAAGCCCCCTCTCCAGCCCTCGCTCCAGTGCCAAACAGCTCAGTTCTTCCCTGTATGTCTCTGGTGCCCCTGGAGCTGCCTCTCCTCCAAGCTTAGAGGGAGAGAGTCCGATAAGTTCGTGTGCGGGCCTTTAAGGAGCTGCCTGGGGCTCCAGCCGCTTTAGCTTCCCTGAGCCTCAGTTCCTGCTGGTTTTTCCAGCCAGACGTTATGGGGATTCTCTTCCTGGCACTGGAACCCTGAGCAGGGCACCTGGTGTGGGACAAGGATCCCTCAGTCCTCAAGAAGGACCTTCCCAGCCGAGGTGTCCTCCTGATTTTTATCCGCCACACGTGGGTGTGGGAACAGCCCGTCTCGCCACCAGCCCTCGAGCCTCCGCCCCTCCGCCCCTCCTACCAGTCTGGATGTGGCTGCTGCTTTAATTCCGTAGTTGTAGGACTTCCATTCAGCTTGATTTCAGGGGGGTTTGAATGATGGTTGTTCTGTAGTTTAGTTGTAACTTTGATGTGGTTGTGGGAGGACAGGATACCGCATTTACCTACGCTGCCATCTTGACCGGAAGTCTCTCCTAATTTTTTCTTAACAGGGTCAAAAGTAGAGACTGGGTTTAAGTAACAGTTCTGCCACACTGGTTACATGTACCTGGGTCTGCTACTCACGTTTCCTTATCTGTAAAATGGGGATGGTGTCAATAAAACTACTTTTTGAATTGAGGTAATACACATAAAGCACAGTGCCTGGAAAGTGTCATGGAAAGCACTTAATTGATGTTAATATATTAACACTCAGCAATTTCCACCAGTTGTTTCACCTTGTTTTTCTCATCTCTCATTACTTAACACCCCAGTCTTTTTGCACCAGTCAAGGAAATATATTTACATACATGCACACACACACACACACACACACACTTCATTTAATTTGACCAGTCACGCACCATTTAACAATGGGACTATGGCCCAGCCCCTGTGGCTTAGTGGACTGAGGGTCCTCCCAAGGACTGTGCGGTTCCAGTTCAATTCCCAGTCAGGGCAGATGCCCTGGTTGCAGGTTTGATCCCCAGTAGGGGACATGCAGGAGGCAGCCGATCCATATTTCTCACAACAATGTTTCTCTCTCTCTAAAAAATAAATAAATAAAAACATATTTTTAGCTCTGGCCATTCTGGCTCAGCGGTTAGAGCATTGGCCTGCAGTCCAGAGAGACCCAGGTTCAGTTCCGCTAAGGGCACGTACCCCGGTTGCAGTTTGTCTCCCGCCCCGTTGGGGTCATATGGGTGGCAACCAGTCGATGTATCTCTCACATCGATATTTCTCTCTCTTCCTCCCTCTCTCACTCCCATTCTATCTGAAGATAAATGCAAAAATGACCTCCGGGGAGGATAAAAAATAAAAAAATTTTTTTTATAAAAACAGTAGTTAATTTGATGAATTAAATTTAAAGGGAGGGGGCAGACGCTGGAATCATACTGCCTGGATTTGGACCTTGGCTCTTCTATTTCTTAGCTGGGTAACACCAAGCAAGTTACTTTACCTCTCTAGGTCTCATCTACATCGTTACCTTAATAACTTCTTCCTAGGATTACACATTGTTACAGAAGAGCACATACCAAGAGCTTTGTAAATGTTTATAAAACCTGCATGTACATTAGGTGTTTACCACAAACGAGCTAATAATGCTGGTAGGTCTCAGTAACAATAGTCTACAGGTGACTGGAACCACCTTGGCAATCAGGCAGGAGTTGCAGACAGCCAAGAGTTTACACCTAGGGGCCCTCATCTATAAAAGGTAGTTATTGTACATAACCTCTTGGGATTTGGGAGGATTACTCAGTTCATGCAGTGTGCTTAAGACGGTGCTCCCAACATTAGCTATACTACAGGCCATGATCCTAGCAAAATCGGACCGGACAGCGGGACATTGGTAGCCAGCAAGGAAAATGCAGACTCAAATGGAGCACGTGCGACTTGATTCACTTCCCGAAACCGCACCATGCAAGGGTCTCCGCCTGCGCTTGGCCCAGCCCAGGGCTCAGAACCTGAGTCGCCTTCCGCGCTGGCACTCTGAGCACCAGGCTCGGACTGCGCGCTAGGCGACTGGCGCGAAACCAAGACGAAACCGGCCGACGGTTCAGGAGCTTCGGGATCCATGGAGGCGGACCCCGCACACGGGCTTATGGTGTTGTGCGCGGGCAAGGGGAGCTCAAGGAAGGGTTTGTGGGTAGGCGGCCGTGACGCAGACCTAGGATCAACCCGATATCTGCCGGAAGCCACCCCAGGACTCAGTACCCCAGTCCCACAAGCAGCCGGCGGTACAAACCCCGCCCCAGCGCCATCGGCGCGCCTGCGCATCGCTCTAAGGCGCATGCGCTCCTTTTCGCGCCGCCGGAGACGCGCTCTCAAATCTTGTGTCTGAAAATCTCTACCCACAACTCCCCAGGCTCGCACGCGCTCTCCTTGCGCGCGTGCGCCCGTCACAGTCCCGCCCTCAAATCCCGTGGGCCCCTGCGAGGTGGTATTTAAGTGTCTCGCTGTACGCTTTAGGTCTCGTTTTCCTGCTGCTCTCGGTAAGTGTGCTTTGCGGTTCGAGCAGGGTGGCCGCGTGAGCGTGGCGTGCCTTAGGCCGTCCTGTGTGTTGCAGCCGTTTGAATGGAGGGTGGGGAGACAGCCATGGAGGCCTCGAAGCTGCTGCAGGGCTTTGTGAAGGACAAAATGGCGAAGGCGGGCGGTGCCGGCGGCCGTCTCTGTGATGAGAACTTTTTCACAGACCTGTACCGAGTTCCGTGAGGATAAGAAACTCTGAGACTGGCCTTGCACAGCCGATGCAGTCATTGTTCCGGGAAACAAAGCGTTAGCGAAATCCTTAGTGCTGACCGAATGTCCTCTTTGTGTGCAGGGTTCAGGCCCACGTTTGACCGCTCGGGAACCTGAAACCCGTCTTTTCACAGTAAGTACTTAAGGGCATCCTTGACAGCTGCTTCTCCACTGTTGAGTGTATGGAAGTCCCATGGGATGTGCTACGGGGATGATAAAAATCGAACTCTCTCTTTCTGATGGATTGGTGGAGAACTATAAATTCTGAGTAGCACCCTCCGCAGCAAACGTTTGGGGTTTTTTGTTTTTATTTTTATTTTTTTTACTGTTTGGACCTTTTTATAGGTCTGTTATTAAGGCATCAACATGAGAGAGGTTGCATGGTTTAAAATAAGTGAAAGGTGCTCTTCGTCTTTTTCAGGTATGGTTCAGTTCAAAAGCACTGACAGGTTGGAGGAGGGGACAAGATCTGTCCCTGCGCAAGTCAATCATTGCAGTGATTCTCTGGTGGGTATACAATAGTTGGGTAGTTATGGGTAGGAGCACAGTGTTTAGCTGGGCATCCGATTGGGCTGGCCACTCCATGATGAACATAAAATGACAAGCATATGACTGAACTTAGAAGTGATGTCATCTTAGTGCTGAGAAGTGGGCCAAGAGTGTTCAGGGGTGTTTGAATGGCTGTTATTGGGTATATTTGATGCCTCCTTTTTCTGTCCCTAGCATCTCATCACCAATCCTGAGGAATTCAACTGCCTCCCTGAGTGACTAGAGGTGAGTGTTTAAATGGATTGAGGTGTCATCTCTCCAGTGTTTCCTACAACCAGGAGAGCAAATGGTCAATGCTCCTTCCAGCTGGTTTCTCTTGGAATGATTTTCCTGGAGAAGGAGAGAATAACCCAGTAGTACAGTTCGTTCTCTCGAGTGTGGGGTGTTTTTTTTCCCCCTCACCCACATGTCACTGTCAGATGATTTGAATTGTTACGCTGATGCTCTGTGAGGTGTGACAGGTAATAGCATGTTAGAGTTCTGATGGCAGTTTCTGTTAAATGAAAAAATCGTACTCCATTCTAATATTTTTTTAAGTAATCATTTGTCTCTCATTTACAGGTTTCCCTGGTGATGATATGTTTATCTATGTTAATGGTAAGTAGCTTCTCCCAATACTGTTGTGAATTTACATGCAAACTCACTGTTCAAAGGATAACTTGGTCATATAGAATTTTTAGATTTGTTACTGAATCCCTGATTGGCCCATGCAGTTTTCTGGTTTTCTTGTTCCTGTAGTGAATCTTCTTGATCTCTTGCCTCTCCTAGGTCTCCATTGATCTGTTCAGGGTTTAACTCATGGAAAGAGTTGGGGTGGTAAGTATTTGTAACTTTGTTGTAACTTGCTCCAGAGTCCAGTGCCAATGAGGAAAGCAAGCATCCTGTCTTACCCCTGTTCTAGCCCCAGAGCCAGTAATGGTGAACCCACTGGGGCTGACTGGGAGAGAAGATGAGAACTTGTTCCATAAAGAACTGTCTGAGGCCCTGGCCTTTTTTGCTCAGCAGTTAGAGCATCGCCTTGGGTTCTATTCTGGTCAAGGGCACGTACCTCAGTTGCAGTTTCTCCCCAGCCCTAGTTGGGGTCGTGGCGGGAGGCAGCCACTCGACATGTCCCTTCGCATCGATGTTTCTTTTTCCCCCCTCAACTCTCCCTCCTGCTCTATCTGAACAAAAAATGGGGGACATGTCCTCAGATGAGGATAAAATTAATAAATAAGTAAATAAAAGGTGTTTGGTTTTTCTGTAGGCCTCTTACCTCTTTTTTTTTTTAACGGGTGCAATAAATACCTATGGATGGCGTTTGATCTGTCCATTAACCATAGAATAGCTTTGGCTGTTTTAGATATTTTGCTAATTACATGATCTCATTTAGGAGCAGCTGGGTCCTGTATACTACTGAAAAGCCTCCAGAGTTAAAAGGTTAGTTGATTAATGTCAGTGTTATGCCACCAAGTAGTCAGTTTCTGTGATGAATCAAACTAGCTCACTATGACTTACAAAATGAAAACATTTGAACACCTGAGAAACTGATGATAGTAGGGGAGGGGATACTGAGTCACCAAATTTTTATTGACCACAGCTTTGTCTTTCCCTAGATACTGTTACCAGTAACCTGTTTGTCAACTCAGAGGTGAGTGGTTTCCGCATGTTTGTGTGTGCAGCATGCTAGGTAGAAAAATGCCTTTTTAGGCTTATATATATGATGACTTACATGGAATCTCGTTCGGCTGATGACTTGCTGTTGAGACTCGGAAATCTGATTTTCTAGGAACTGGCTAAGGTGGGAGCAACTTTTAATGCAGAAAGTAAGCATTGCTGACTCCGTCTTGTTTATTTCAGATTCAGCTCCTTCCCTGGAGCCCAAGAATGATCTGAGGTAAATCTCTTGCAACACTTTCAATCTATATAAAATTTTTCAGTTTTGTGTGTGGCACTTTGGATCACTCACCAGTGATGAGTTCAATACCGCCCCAGTCTGATCATGGTGACTGAAAGGTATTTCTGAGCTGTGAGCTTCCTTGGAGTGAAAAGTGACAATGGGAAGTTAATTGAGTAGGCAATATAGCCAATAGGAAGTGCTTTGGCCTACCTAGTTCATGTCAAGTGTCCTTGAACATCTACATCACCTACACTGTTATGCTTTTCCTCTACGCAATAGGGATTCCTAGGGCTGGTTGAGAGACTTAGTTCCCAATCATTCTTTTGCAGGGAAAGTGTAAGCTGTATTTCTGCTCAACTTCTGCCTGAAGTTGGAGGTGAGTAAACCAGATGCGAAGTGTAAGCCAAGCTACAATTTCCCAGTGAGGAAACAGTCACATGTCTTACCTCCTGTCCTAGTCCCAGAGCCTGTAAAGGTGAACCCACTGGGGCTGGCTGGGGGAGAAGAGGAAAGTTTGTTCCAGAAGGAACTGTCTGAGGGATTATTAGGGTTTCTAAACATGGGGAAGGGAAGAATAAATCCCTTTTTGAAAAATCGTACACTCTTTTCCAGGTCTGAGGAAAGAACTAAGCATGTATAATGGTAAGTATTTGCTCACATGTTGCTGTTTTACTTTTTTTAATCCTCACCCGGGGATATTTTTTCATTTATTTCCAGGCAGAGCGGGATGGAGAAAGAGAATGAGAATGTGAATGTGTGAGACACATCGATTGGTTGCTTCCCACACAACCCTGTGACCAGGGCAGGGGACTGAACCGCAACCAGAGGCACATGTCCTTGACCAGAATCAAACCTGCAACTCTTTGGTCCATGTTCTGTGGACTCTTAACAGCTGAGCCAAACTGGCCAGGGTGGTGTTTAGTACTTAAAGTATTAACATAACTTAAACAGAAAACCTAGAGGTGTAAATTGGTTTAGAAAGGTTAGTTACTTGTGAGCTCAATGCGTATTTTTTCCCATCCAATAAGAAAACTCCCCTTTTCTTTTTCTCCGCAGGAATACAACTCTTGGAAGATACAAAAAAGGAATTTTCAATTTCTTGTATAATCTTAACTGTTGAAATTTGCAGATAATAATTTCAGTCTTCAGAAATAAACATTTGTGTATTTTTTACCCTTCATTGTGATCGATGTGTTTGAGTGGGTCTAGTTATTTACCTAAATGGGGTGTAGCTTCGAGGGCGTGTGGTGGGGATGTTGAACGTCCATCTTGATCTCCATATACCATTGCATCTGATCATATGTAGTAGCTACTTGAGAATTTAGTCTCATCCAAATGGGTTGCCTGCATCACATATACCCAATGTTTTCAAATATATTCTCATTTTTATTTGTCTCTGGGCACACTTGCTTTGGGTTTGGGGATGAAACCGGGCAGTGGCACACAGCATGCCTGGGGGAGGGGTGCGCTTAGGTCAGTGATTCTCAATCTTGAAAGCGGTTGTGTAGTTTTTTAAGCCTCAAATCTGCATGGTTGACATGTGCACAGTCCCCACCCACCAGGCAATTCTGATGTGTTGTCAGATAATGACCATCCTTGTATTCCTCAGTATTTGACAGAATGGATATGAAATGAATTCAGGGATATGTAAATTTTAGGATAAGGTCTTCCCTTTATCCTGGAGTATTGGTTCCAGGATTCCTGTGGATACCAAAATCCAAGGATGCTCAAGACCCTTAATGGTGTACTTCCATATAACATGCATAACCGTGTGCTTCAAATCATCTCTAATACCTAATACGCTCTAAATGCCATGTGAAAAATAAATTTCCATCTCCTGGGTTCAACTGAAGCTGCAGCCTGCTCCACCCAGAGAAGCACACAGAACCAATGAAAAGGACCCTGTGTGGCTGGAACCCATTCCCTGTGAATATTCCTGGCATCGGTGTGAAAACACGAAAGTAGTTTCCGTCTGCAATGTCTAGTCCAGACATGTGGAACCCATAGGTGATGGAGGGCCAACTATGCGTTCTGTGTCAGAATAGACTATAAGAAGGCAAGTTAACAGAAAAAGGCTATTCTTTTTTTGTTCATTAAGTGGTAGCCATACAGATTTGAGAGTCAAGAGGAATACGCCCAAGATAAAGGAAGTGTTGGTCCTGAAAGTGGATTGAATGAAGACCCAGACCAGCCCAGCTCGTGTGGCTCAGTGGTTGAGCATTGACCCATACATCAAGAAGTCACTGGTTTGATTCCTGGTCAGGGCGCAAGCCCAGGTTGTGGGGCCAATCCCAGGAGGGAGTTGTGTGCAGGAGGCGGCCAATCGACGTTTCTCTGTCTCAAATCAATTTTTTTTTTAATTTATTTTTTTATCCTTACCCAAGGACATGTTTCCATTTTTGTTCAGATAAGGATGGGAGGGAGGGAGAGGAACATTGACATGAGAGGGACACCGACTGATGGCCGCCTGCATGACCCCAACCAGGGCTGGGGACGAATCACAACTGAGGTACATGCCCTTGACTGGAATCAAACCCGAGACTCATTGGTCTGCCGGCTGATGCAGTAACCGCTGAGCCAAACCAGCCAGGGCAATTTTTTTTTTTTTTTTTTAATTTAAAAAGACCCAGGCCAGGACCCTGGGGTGTAGGGTTGGAGTTTGGTGGATAAACAAAATGTAGCCTGGCTAACAGAACAAAGTGTGCGTGAGGAGAAACGGTTTGCCCAAGGGAGGGAATGTGCAGCTGGAACAGGAAGAAAGCTGGGTCAGCAGAGACGCTATCTCAAGGACACGATGACCTAAAACAGTGTAACTCAGGGCACTGCTAAGAAAAGAAATCGGGCTGCATCGGAGATCAGGAGTATTTACTCCCTTGTGATGCTGCCCCTCACTCCAAGCCCTGTCTGCTTGTAGTTCACCGCGTTGTGACCACCCCTGGCAGGCACTGGGGGTTGGGGGAGTGCACCAGCATTTAAAGATGGGAGGGACAGCCCTGGCCAGTTTGGCTCAGCGGTTAGAGCGTTGGCCTGAGGTCCAGAGAGACCCGGGTTCGGTTCCCGCTAAGGGCATGTACCTCGGTTGCAGTTTGTCCCCTGCCCTGGTTGGTCGTGCGGGTGGCAGCCATTCGATGTGTCCCTTTCACATCAATATTTCTCTCTCTCTCTGTTCCTCTCTCTCCCTCCCACTCTACCTGAACAAAAAATGGAAAAATGCCTCGGGTAAGGATAAATAAATAAATCCTCACCCAAGGATATTAATAATAATAATAAAAAAGATGGGAGGGACAGCAGAGAAACCCAGAAAGACTGCAGCAGTGGGTGGACCCTCAGAGTGCTGGTCTGGTAACCATGGAGGAGAGCCCACAAGCACCCTGGTGAAGGGTGTGTCTAAGCTACAAATAGATCAAAACAGACTGAAAAGGACTGCAAGCAGGTGTGTAGAGCTTTAGCCACAGACCGGTCACTATGCATATTACCTCATCACCCGTGGGAGGTATGTGCCAGAAGCATGGTAGAGGCAGTAGGGGCAAGGAAAGGGTGAGCAAGCACATTGCCCACTGTCAAAGAGTTAGAATAGCAGGAGAGGGGAGGGTCAGCTGTCAAAGTCCCAGGGGTAAACCATCAGACCCAGCTATTAGCTACCATCACTCTAACCCAGATCCGGGAAATGCAGCAAGGAGGTGATGGAACGAGACAGAGGGGCTGATGTGGGGGCCAGGCAGGATCCACTGGAAGTGTTTGGTAGATAATGATGTCTTCCTCAAATAGTATTTTCACAATTTGGCAAATGAGAAGTTCAAATTAAAGCCCAAGTTAATGGCTGCTTGGGCTAAGAAATGAAAAAATATGGGACTGGGATAATTTGGAGCAATGGGGGGAAGTGCCAGAATGATTGAGGCTTGGCTCCTCACATTACTTCTGTACACTGACGACTCAGGACTATAGCGCCTCTAGCCGGGACCTCTTCTCTGAGCTCCAGGTACACCCACAAAATATCCCAATCAGATACTCAGACCCTTGATTCGCTGTCCTGTCCCTGTCTCCTCCTCCCCCAGTCTCCCTACTTCAGCTAAGTGATAACAGCACCAACAAGATGCTCCATCCCAAACTTAGTAACGTGCTCAGCCCTAAGAGCCAAGGTCTTCTCTTGCCTTTGAGTTACATTCTAGAAAAGACAGGCAAAATAAGACAGCCCGCAAATCAGATTATTTGAAATGGCACAGCGGTTCCCAACCAGGGGTGATTTTGCCCCCAGGAACACTAAGCAATGTCTGGAGATTATATATATATATATATTTTTATCCTCACCCGAGGACATTTTTCGATATTTTGTTCAGATAGAGTGGGAGGGAGAGAGAGAGAGAGAAATATCGACGTGAAAGCGACACTTCGAGTGGTTGCCACCCACACGACCCAACCAGGGCCGGGGACAAACTGCAACCAAGGTACGTGCCCTTAGCGGGAACCGAACCCGGGTCTCTCCAGACCGCAGGCCGACGCTCTAACTGCTGAGCGAAACCGGCCAGGGCTGGAGATATTTTTGATTGTCCCAACTTGGAGAGTGTGGGCCTACTACTGGCATCTAATGGGTAGAGACCAAGGATGCTGCTAAATACCCTACAATGCACAGGAATTATCCAGCCCAAAATGTCAATAGTGCTGAGTTTAGACACCCTGAGATATATGATAAATGCCAACAAAGAACAGGAATCTGTGATGTGGTAACAAGGGTGGTCAGGAAAGGCATCTCTGGAGGAGAACATGGGGAGATCGAGAGGTAGAAGGGTCCAGGCTGAGGAAAGAGCAGATCTGTTCCTGCACTTGACGTGGCCTCATTTTAGGTGTTTAGACACCTTCAGTCAGATTCTTTGTCTCTTTAGGGCTGTGGCTGTAAACTTGTAGACTAGTGGACGGGTTCCAGGGACTCTAAGAATCCCTCTGGAAACTGTATGCAAAATTGTGTGAGACAAATATGCATTTATTTGGGGAAAGCCTCCAACGATTCCCAGAAGGTTTGGGGGATGCAATAAAAATAAAATCTATTCCCCCAGCCCATGCGGTGCAGTGGGTTGAGCGTCGCCCCATGGACTGAGGTCCCAGTTTGATTTCCGGTCAGGACACATGCCTGGGCTGGGGGTCGATCCCCAGTGTGGGGCATGCAAGAGGCAGCTGATCGATGGCTCTCTCTCACATCCATGTTTCTATCTCTCTCTTCCTCTCTCTCTAAAAAAATCAATAAAAACATTGAAAAAATAAAATAATAAAATCTCTTCAAGTTGACTAGACATTTCTTTGACCTGCTTCATACTGTGTTGGTTAAGTTTATAACATCTGCCTCAAAAATGACCCCCAAAATAGGAAGTCTAAAATCGTTCAGTCAACTTATAAATATAGAGGAAAGTATCATTAAAAATAAACAGCTTAGCCCTGGCTGGTTTGGCTCAGCAGTTGGAGCGACGGCCTGAGGAGCAGAGAGTCCCAGGTTCAGGTCCCGCTAGGGACACGTACCAAAAATAAATAAATAAATTAAATAAATAAATAAATAAATAAATAAATAAATAAATAAATAAAGTTATCCTTTAAAAAATAGCCCTGGCCGGTTTAGCTCAGCGGTTGGAGCGTCGGCCTGCGGTACAGAGAGACCCGGGTTCGGTTCCCGCTAAGAGCACGTACCTCGGTTGCAGTTTGTCCCCGGCCCTGGTTGGTCATGCGGGTGGCAGCCACTCGATGTGTCCCTTTCGCATAGATGTTTCTCTCTCTCTCTCTTCCTCTCTCTCCCTCCCGCTCTATCTAAACAAAAAATGGAAAAATGTCCTCAGGTGAGGATAAAAAAATAAAATAAAAAATAATAATAAAGAAAAAAATAAACAGCTTAGCCCAGCCGGTGTGGCTCAGTGGTTGAGCACCATCCCATGCACCAAGAGGTCACTGGTTCAATGACCAGTCGGGGCACATGCCCGGGTTGTGGGCCTGATCCTCAGTGGGGAGTGTGCAGGAGGTGGCCAGTCAATGTTCTCTCTCATTGATGTTTCTATTTCTCTCTCCCTCTCTCTTCCTCTCTCTAATATCAATAAAGAAAAAAAAAAGTTTTTTTAATAAATAAATAAACAACTTAGCCCTGGCCAGTGTGACTCAGTAGTTAGAGCTTTGACCTTTGCACCGAAGGGTCAAGGTTCGATTCCCGGTCAAGGGCATGTACCTGGGTTGCAGGTTCAATCCCTGGACCCAGTCAGGATGCATGAGGGAGGCAACCAATCTATGTGTCTCTCTCACACTGATGTTTCTCCATTCCTCCGCCCTCCCTCCCTTTCACTCTCTAAAAATCAATTAAAAAAATATCCTCAGGTGAGGATTAAAAAAACAAAACAAAAACAAAAAAATAAACAGCTTAAAAGTTAAAAATGGGGATGTAAATTGGGGAGGATTGCTATAAGCCTTGAATATTACCAAGTTATATCACTTTCATGACATGAAACATTAAATCACAGAAAGCACCATGCATGTACCAGGCCACGCTTCTTCTGCTCTTGCTCTGGACTCACCTCTGCTCAACATGGACCCTAACTGCTCCTGCTCCACTGGTGGATCCTGCACCTGCGCCGGCTCGTGCAAATGCAAAGACTGCAGATGCGGCTCCTGCAAGGAGAGCTGCTCCTGCGGCCCCGTGGGCTGTGCCAAGTGCACACAAGGCTGCGTCTGCAAAGGAGCAGGAGACCAGTGCAGCTGCTGTGCCTCATGTGGGGGACAGCCTGCTTCCCGATGTAAATAGAGCAATGTCTACAAACTTGCATTCAAAAACAATTTTTTCTCCTTGATTGATTTTAGAGAGAGGAAGAGAGAGATAGAAACATCGATGAAAGAGAACATCAACTGGCTGCCTCCCGCATGCCCCGCACTGGGGATTGGGCATGTGCCCCGAAATCGAACCTGCAACCTCTTGGTGCATGGGTCGACGCTCAACCACAGAGACACCTGCCGGACCAAACCTGCATTTTAAAATTTTTTTCATAAACCCTGCCCGATTGCTACGTTCCTTTTTGTATGAAATAGTTGAATGACAATAAACTTGTCTAGACTCAAAAAAAAAAGTAACCCAGCGGGTGTGGCACAGTGGTTGAACGTCGACCCATGTCTCCAGTTCGATTCCTGGTCAGGACACATGCCCAGCTTGGGCCCAATCCTCAGTGGGGGGCATGCAGGAGGCAGCCAACTGATGTTTCTGTCTCTCTCTCTCCCTTTCTCTCTCTCTGTAAAGACCAAAAAAAGAGTAAATGTACCGCTGGAAAGACTGCTCTTCCCTTGGCTTCACGTTGCCTGTCACCAACACCAGTGATTCTCTGTGAACTTTTCTGCTTCTATCTCTGCCACCACAACCACCTTCATCTTCTGCCTGGAGAATCACAGGAGACTTCGCCTAGTTTTCCCCAGCAGACTATAAACGTCATGAAGGCAAGGTCCATGTCTGATTTTGTTTATCATCGAACGGTGCCTCCTCAGCAAGTACAGATGGCCTCCCAGGGAGCAAATGTACCTCCAAGTTCTTGTGGAGCCCTCACTTCAGCCTCCTGTACCCAGGCAGGACGAGGCAGGGGTAACACCAGAGTGAGAGCGAAGGAGCCACCCCACTTGCCTTTGCTTCAGGGGTGGAACAGGGCTACTGCTGATCTGCCCACCCGGAGATCTGTGCTCTGGGACGCTGGCTGTACCCTGAGCAGAAGGACGGAAGCCTGCTCCCCTGGGGGCTGTGGCTTGCTCTGGTTGGATCTTACAGAATTTGGAGAAAGGTGGGATTGAAAGAAACTGAATTTTGCTTTTGCCCTTGTATTTTTTTAAATTATTTAAAAATTTTTATTGCTGTTGTAATAAATTACCACAAACCCAGTGGCTTAAAACAAATTGATCTTACACTTCTGGAAGTCAGAAGTCCAAAATGGGTCTCAGTGGGCTAAAATCAAGCTGTGTCAGCAGGGCTGCATTGCCTACTGGAAGCTCTAAGGGGAAAATCATTTCCTTGGCTTTTCCAGCTTCTAGAGGCCCCCAGGCATGGCCCAGCCATCTTCAGAGTCAGCAATGGCTCATCAAATCTTTCTCATGCTGCATCACTCTGATACTGTGTGCTGCCTCCTTCTATGCCTCATAATAAGGGCCTTTGAGCCCAGCCAGTGTGGCTCAGTGGTTGAGGGTCAATCCATGCGCCAAGAGGTCGTTGGTTCGATTCCCAGTCAGGGAACATGCCCAGGTTGTGGGCCTGATCCCCAGTGGAGGGCATGCAGGAGGAGGCCAATCAATGTTCTCGCTCATTGATGTTTCTCTCTCTCCCCGTCTCTCATTCTCTCTCTCTAAAATCAATAAAGATTTAAAAAAATAATAATAAGGACTTTTGTGATGATACCAGTGGGATCATAAAATAATCCAGAATAATCTCTCCTTCTCAAAAGCCTTAACCATATCTGCAAAGGAACTTTTCCCATGTAAGATAACACATTCCGAAGTTCTAAGAATTAGGACATAGACACTTTTGGAGGGAGGCCTTGTTCTACAGACCACACCCCCTTATGTGGCCCCTTCATGGACACCCTGGTTTTCCTCTTCTGTTTATTAACATCAGGGACACAATGCTGAGCACCTTGACCTTGTTCTCTAAAATCATGGATTCTCAGAAACCTTGCAAGTTGAAATTATATTAGTGACAATGGAATGACCTGCTCTTGACTGAAGGATCTCAGCCACGCCTGTACCTCTACTTCCAGGTCGGCTGCCCCGCTTCGGTTAAGGTTTCCAACAGAACAGTCCACATTTATATTGATACAGTTCCAAGGAAACAGGACCTCAAGTCCCTTTTCAGACAGGGCTGGATATATATATATATATAAACTTTTTCATACAGCAGGGCTTTGCTTTGAGCCAATAAAATCACTGCCCATTTAAATTTGACCTACACTGCCCGTCGGTGTGGCTCAGTGCTTGAGCATGACCCAGTGCTTGAGCATGACCCACGCACCAAGAGGTCGCAGGTTGGACTCCCAGTCAGGGCCACGCCCGGGTTGTGGGCCTGATCCCCAGTCGGGGGCATGCAGGAGGTGGCCAATCAATGTCCTCTCTCCTCAATGTTTCTAACGCTCTCTCCCTCTCCCTTTTTCTTTCTCTAAAATCAATAACGAAAAAATTTTTTTAAAAAGTGACCTACACTGGCCCCACCCGCTCTCTCCCACCGCTGGATCCTGGATTTAGGAATCAGGAACCTCTGAAACGTCTTTCTCAGGGCACGTTTCCCCCACGGCAAGATGTAAGCGGGTGGGGGTGGGGTGGAGTGACCAGTCAGCGGGGAGGCACAGAAAAGGGCCAGGATGCGAGGAGGACAGGTCCAAAGGCCAACCTTCACTCCGTCCTCACGTCTCCAACCGCACCCTAAGCGCGTTATGATTTATTTAACCGAGGAGACAGGGGCCAATGCAACGTGCCTCTTGTCATTCAGTCAGAAACTGTCGAGCAGGGATCCCAACTCAGTAATTTAGACTCCAAAGAGTGTGCTCCGAGACCGCGGCCTCTCCCAACGTGTGCTGCCGAAGGGACACCGCCACCCGCCGCACCTTCAACTCACCGGCAGAGACCACCGTCCGGCCGCCCCCAGGGGGCGCCTAAGACCCTTCAAGACCAGAGGCTAAAACCACAGTCCTGGAGGCAGAGACCATGCCCGCTCTGAAATCACGATTTGTATGTGGACCAATCCCAAGGTTATTAAAAAGTGAGGGGCGGGTTTATGCAAAACATATCGAGCCGTGATCACGTAGAAAAAACAGTAAAGAACTCGAAGGTCTGTTTCCAAAAATAGGCTATTATTTTGAAGTAAGGATAATAAAGAGTTGAGTTATAGAAGGAGTACATTTGAAAGAAAATCTAGTCGGTGCGTCACAAGAGTCACCACAAATGTAAAAGGTACAGTAATGCTAAGCCTGGCGGGGAGCAGCGACCAAAGGTATCGCTTCTCGGCCTTTTGGCTAAGATCAAGTGTAGTATCTGTTCTTATCAGTTTAATATCTGATACGTCCTCTATCCGAGGACAATATATTAAATGGATTTTTGGAATTAGGAGATGGAATAGGAGCTTGCTCCGTCCACTCCACGCATCGACCTGGTATTGCAGTACTTCCAGGAACGGTGCACCCCACTTTGGGGGATTACTCCTAACTGTTCAAAGTAAGAAATTAAGTCAGCTTTTACCACAAAGCTTTCTTTTCATTTGTTGATGTTTAGTAGTGCTGTTTTTCATGTAACATCTCTTACATGCAGTCTTTTGTTAATTCATGATTGCATTTAGCAGCTAGCTTGGCTGAACATAGGTAACTAACCCATGGAAACTCGCTTTGTGAATTTTCACTCTCAGTACGTTTGTTGGACGATCGAATGTTTCCTTGGCCCAGACGGGCTTTTTCAGCCTGGTGTGTCAATGCGTACGTCTGGAAAATTATCTGTTACTACTTCCCGGTAAATTTCCGGATCGCCCTGAGTGCTTGAGGGGCACGCCTCTTGAAACCCACTCCATGGCTGTGCTTGTGAATGTTGATGACACGTGTGCTCTCTGGTCATTACCTCGTTGATGGCAGAGGGCCGTTCTTCTGCCCGCCCGAGTTGGGGGAAAGAAAAGTCTATGGTTTCTCTTTGGCTTTTTTTTTTTTTTTTTGGTACGTGCCCCTAGCGGGAACTGGACTGGGACTCTCTGGTCCGCAGACAAACACTTCGACCGCTGAGCCAAACCGGCCAGGGCTTTGGCTTCTTTCTTTCACTACTTTAGAGATTGATTAGTTCTGCTTAGTTTAGTTTGGCTCCACGTCAGCTGGTGGACTTTACTATCTCTAATCCTTATCATTCTTAAAAAATCAGATGTGTTCCCCTTTACAAAGAGGAACACCGCCTAAACTACTAATGGTTGAATACCTCGCCAAAAAAAAGTTAGAGGATTTTAGGGGAACGTGAAGTTTGCTTTAGTTCAGTGTTCTGATAGACTCAATACAGAGTATGTGTGCAAAAACGTCAACATCCGGTTCGGGCTGTGAAGAATACCTAGGGTGCCGTTTGTTTCCTTGGTAATACAAAAATAAATGAGGGATGTTATACTCAGAACTATATATATATATATATATATATATATATATATATAGTTTCTTTATTGATTTGAGAGAGAGAGGGAGAGCAAGAGAAAGAGAGAGAGAGAGACATCCATGAGAGAGAACATTGATTGGTCACCTCCCATATGCACCCCCACTGAGGATCGGACCCACAAACTGGGCATGTGCCCTGACCGGGAATCCAACCGGTGACCTCTTGGAGCATGAGTTGATGCTCAATCGCTGAGCCACTCCAGCCGGGGTATGCTCAGAACTCATTGGCAGCTCTTCAGCTGCGCTAATAAGGCTGCTTTTCCGTGGAGGATTTAGGTCTGCCAGGCAAGAACTGGAATGCTTTATTCTTACCTACATAATTGCAGACAGCAAAGTTTCTGATAGTCTATTATTTCAGAGAACAATATTTCTCAGTAAGAAAATCACTCAAAAAAGAGGAACGTTAAAGTTACAGCTTATCCTTGAGAGGAATATTGTTTCTGTTTAACTCTGAGAATTTTTACGCAGTTTGAGCTAGTTTTTACTATCACCAAACCTCAATGTGAGGAAATTAAAATGACGCCCTACCTCCACTTTTCCAAAACAGAGACCTGTTTTAAGATCGTCGGTTTCATTTCCCCCGTCTTTCTTCGTTTTGTGTCTTTTAAAATCGGGTTTGAAACCGTGTGTCACAATAGTTTTTTTTTTAAGCTGAACATGATTATGTTTAATACACAACTTTGGTACAACCAAAAAAAGTACACCACCATAGTAAAATAACAAAAAACACGGGAAATGGTTAACATCTTTAGTCATAAATAAGCTCTCAGAAACCAGTGACAGAGGCACTATATATTCCAGGGGAACTGGAAAAAAAGAAAAGAAAAGAAATAATACAAATGACAACTAAGGGTTAAGGACAGTGATTTGAATGTGTCTGACGTGGACTCGACTTGTACGGAAAAAATAAAGCCACGATTCTTTGGAGCAGGGAGACGGGCTAGGGCTGGCTCCATCCGGCATCGCGGTCCACTAAGGATGAGATCCACTCTCGGTGAAAATTGGTCAGGTTACTCTACAAATCCCCACAAATGTCTCTACATTGTTTTTGCACTGCAATACCGGCGGGAGCAGGAGGGTGACTGATCTCTCCCAGCTCTTTAGATCCCCAGAAACTGCGTTGGCGCGGATCCCCGTCCGCGCGCTGGTGACGCGCACGCTGCGCCGGAAGTGCGGCTGTCGGTTTCCGGGCTCTGTTATGGCTGCTCTCCGGACGCGATGGAACCATGTGTGGGTCGGCACCGAGACTGGGATCCTGAAAGGTGGGTGGCAGGACCGGGCGTCGGGAAGTGGGGAGGCCGCCAGCTCGCGTTCCTGGTGCGACTGACGCCCGCGTCCCGCAGGGGTGAACCTTCAGCGCAAACAGGCGACGAACTTCACGGCGGCGGGACAGCCGCGGCGCGAGGAGGCGGTGAGCGCCCTGTGCTGGGGCGCGGGCGGTGAGACACAGGTGAGCGGCCGCCGGCCGGGCTGGAGCTGGGGTGTCGGTAGCTTCGCTCTCCTCGCCATCCTGCCCTCTTCTGCCCGCAGATCCTGGTGGGCTGTGCCGACAGGACCGTGAGGCACTTCAGCACCGAGGAGGGCAGATTCCAGGGTCAGAGGCACTGCCCCGGCGGGGAAGGCACGTTCCGAGGTCTCGCCCAGGTTGACGGGTAAGATTGAGGCTCCCGCAGGACGGCCGAATAATGGCGATCAACCCTTAGGTGACTTGGTCCTGGGCTGGGTGACAGGAATCTGTGCCCTGCCTTCTTTTGTTCATTCCTATAACAGTCATTTATTGAACACCTTCTGAGTGACAGGCATTGAGCGAGATGCAAGGGCTGCAGGTAAACCAGACACACACACACACACACACACACACACACACACACAGTTCCTACTTTCATAGGGAGTTTGCATCCTCGATGAGTTTTCCACTGGTTTCATATTTTTTTTTGGTACGTGCCTCTAGCGGGAACCGAACCCAGGACTCTTCTGGTGCGCAGGTCCACGCTCCAACCGCTGAATCAAACCGGCCAGCGCGGTTTCATAACCTTTTGAGTGACCCTGAGCAAGTTATTTAATAGTGTACAGGGTGGTGGGAACTGACAACCACAAACAAAGTGATAAAGCTCTTGAAGTAAAGGATAGGAGGGAAAGTGCTATTGGTTAGATTACTGGCCTAGCTTTCTTCCTAAATTGAAGGGGGAGGTTGTGGACAGGCTGTGGAGGTTTGGTGGTGATACTTCTGACAGGTGAGGTCTAGGAGGTTCTGTGAGGGGGGTGAGACATTTAAAGTAGGCTTGCCCTGGCCGGTTTGGCTCAGCGGTTAGAGAGTCGGCCTGCGGTCCCGAGAGACCCGGGTTCAGTTCCCGCTAAGGGCACGGACCTCGGTTGCAGTTTGTCCCTGGCCCTGGTTGGTCGTTGCAGGTGGTAGCCACTCGATGTGTCCCTTTCACGTCGATGTTTCTCTCTTCCTCTCTCTCCCTCCCACTCTATCTGAATAAAAAAATGGAAAAATGTCCTCGGGTGAGGATAAAAAAAAAAGTAGGCTTTGAAGAATTGGCAGAATTTTGACAGGTGGGGAAAGTGGTAAGAGGCTACTGCCTGGACAAAGACCAAGGATTGGTGTCAGGCTACAGGGTACCTTTCAGGGAACATAAATAGCATTTGGGGGTTGATGCTGAGGAACATTTTAATACAAGATGGGCAAGGGAGGTTGGGATTAATTGTAAAAGGCTTTAAGTGCCAAGCTGAGAGATTTGCAGTTTTGTAAGTGGTGGGGAGTTATTGGTTTTGGAGTGGGCAGTGCTGTTGTCAGAGCTGTGACCCTGTAGGAGTGTGGAGGATGAATTGGAGAGAGAGCAGTTGGGAGACTGTTACCACAGCGGAGGCAAGTGATATAGGCCCTGAACCAAGGTGGGGAGGGTAGACAAATGTGAGAAAGAACATAGGTTCAGGCTGTACAGCTCCTAGGGGAGACTTGCTTGGGCTTCTTGGGAGAGGTATTTGATTCTTTTGTTTTGTTTTTACATTGATTTTTAGAGAGAGAGGGAGAGGGATAGAGATTGATGAGGGAAACATGGATCAGCTACTTCCTGCACGCCCCCTTCTGGGGATTGAGCCCGCAATAGGGGCATGTGCCCTAATGGGGAATCAAACCAATAACCTCTTAGTGCATGGGACAGTGCTCAACCAGTGAGCCACACTGGCTGGGTGGGAGGGGTTACTTTGAGGAAGAGATTGACATTTACCACCTGGAACCCAGAACAGAGAATTCAAGAGAAGCTGGTGTTTGACTTTGGCCAAACCCTAAATCCAGACCAGTCCCATTTCAGTCCTTTCAGAGTTACTGATCCTGACCCCTGTGACCAACTCAACGTTCAAAAAGACCTGCAGGGCCAGGTGCCCCCAGATGTAGCTATGGAATCCAAAGGCACTCTGTTTTGGAGTATCACAGACTTGATTTCTGGTTCTGACATTTGCTGAGTAGGCAAATATTTTAATTGCTCAGAGCTTCTATTTCTTCACTTATAAAACTGGTAAACCTGCCCGGCTGGTGTGGCTCAGTAGATTGAGTGTTGTTGTCCCATGAACCGAGAATCCCGGTTCGATTCCCAGTCAGGGCACTTGCTTGGGTTGCGGGCTTGATCCCAGAGCGGGTGGGGCATGCAGGAAGCATCTCTCTCTCTCACATAGATGTTTCTATCTCTCTCTTCAGCTCTCTAAAAAAATGAATAAAAACTTATTTAAATATAAATAAATAAATGAAAACTGGTGAACTCTGTGTCAAGGAAATTAAATAATAGATACTGAAGTTGGAAACTGTCAAGCCCTGTCCAGACCTGAATTACCTGGAGGCTTTCTTTTTTTGGTGGTACATGCCCCTAGCGGGAACCGAACCCGGGACTCTCTGGTCCACAGGCTGGCGCTCAACCGCTGAGCCAAACTGGCCAGGGCATCTGGAGGCTTTCTTAGGAAGAGGGCTGGTAAGAGTCTAGTTAATTTGGGGGTGGGTTGACTGGGGCTAAGAGAACACCTTCACACTTTTTTTTTCAACCTGACTCCCACCCCTGCCTGCAGCACCCTCGTCACATGTGTGGATTCTGGGATCCTCCGAGTCTGGCGTGATAATGACAAGGAGACATCCTCTGACCCAGTGAGGCTTCCCTGCCCTGATCCTGATGGTTGGGGAAGGGGGGAGCCAGGGTAGGAGTTGCATGAGGGCTTTCGGGGAGGAGGATTTGGGACTCGAACTGACTCTAATTTCCTCTCTCATCTCTCATTCTTTTCAGCTCCTGGAACTGAGGGTGGGTCCTGGGGTATGTAGGATGCGCCAAGACCCAGTGCACCCCCATGTAGTTGCCACAGGTGGGAAGGAAAATGCTTTGAAGGTGTGGGACCTGCTGGGGTCTGAGGAGCCTGTGTTCAGAGCCAAGAATGTGAGTGACGGGTAGGGAAGGGCTAGGTCTGAGGCCCAGGGTGACTGGGGTCACTGACCATGAGTCAGAGATCAGGTGGGCTTTAGGGGATGATGACGGAGGGCTGAAGGAAGGTACACACTGAATTCCCCACAACTCTGTCCCCCATCTACCCACCCCACCAGGTACGGAATGACTGGCTCGACCTGCGAGTTCCCATCTGGGACCAGGACATACAGTTCCTGCCTGAGTCACAGAAGCTCGTCACCTGTACAGGGTACCACCAGGTGAGGCACCACCCCACCCCTGCCTCCTACCGGGCTTGAGCAGTCTCCTAGAGAAACAGCCTCCCTGTGTAGGCTCTGCCCCGTTTGTCACAGCCACCTTCTCACCACCCTATCCATGAATTCTCAGAGGAGGGAGCACTCCCTTGTCCATTTCCGCCTGGTAACCTTCTCTTACTGTATTCTAGGATGGAGTTTCCTGAACTCTGACTCTTTCTCTTACTCCCATCTAGAAGAGAGGAGAGGAGAAGGGAGTATTCCCTTCACAGTAGTTTACAGGGTGCAGGTGTCTGGAGAGGAAAATTGGGCTGCATATCAAGAGAATTGGATTTCTGGTCCTGATGCAGCCTCTGATTTGCTGCAGGACCCAAGCTCGACTCTCCTCTCTGGCCTCAGCTCCTCATTTTTGGGGGGAGGGCCCAACTGAGGATCGATCGATTTATTTATTTATTTATTTCCTCACCCGAGGACATTTTTGCATTTATCTTCAGATAGGGCAGGAGGGAGAGATGGAGAAAGAGAGAAAGAGAGAGAGAGAGAGACATCGATGTGAGAGAGACACGTCGAGTGGCCACCACCCACACGAACCAACCAGGGCCAGGGACAAACTGCAACTGAGGTACGTGCCCTTAGTGGGAACCGAACCTGGGACTCTCTGGTCCACAGGTCAACGCTCTAACCGCTGAGCCGAACCAGCCAGGGCCCAACTGGGGATCTTTACAGCCCTGACCCAGGCAGGACTGGGTTACTGTATTTTTGTTGTTGTTAATCCTCACCTGAGGATTTTTTTTTTCATTGATTTCTAGGGAGAGGGGAAGGGGAGGGAGAGAGAAAGAAACATTGATGCCAGAGAGATACATCAATTGGTTGCCTCTCACATGACCCTAAGAGGGGCAGGGGATCAAACCTGCAAACCAGGTACGAACCCTTGGCCGGGAATTAAACTCGAAATCCTTCGGTCCGCAGGCTGCCCTCTAGGTTACTGTATTTGCTGTTTCTTTTGCTTCCGTATATTGAAGTCTGATCTTGGTGATATGCTTCTGCTTAAAACACACATGAGGGCTTCCTCTCTCCTCGTATTCAGGCTAAACATTTCTGCTTGAAATTCAGCATCCTCTGACAATTGGACTAACTTGCTTTTCCCTCCCAAGATGGGAGTCTGGGGGATGGCATTGCCACACTTGCAGACCATGGGAATGCTGCCACTTCCCAACTTCCCCGCAGCCCTGTCCATTTATGCTGCTAACAGCTCTCCCCCACCCCCCAACACTCAGAGAAGAGGGGTACATTTCAGATGAGAAAGTTTCTCCAAGAGTGGGTCATAAACAGGAAAGCAGCATATGAAGGAGTGAGTGCAGATGTGGGAAAGCCACACGGGTATGTGGGGTGAGGGCACCCTTGTGATTCTTAAGTCTTCCTCCAGGTCCGTGTCTATGATCCAGCCTCCCCACAGCGCCGGCCAGTGCTAGAGGCCACCTATGGAGAGTACCCATTGACAGCTATGACTCTCACTCCTGGGGGCAAGTGAGTGTTTAGAGGGCAAAGAGTGGGGTGAGGAAGGACTCCAGGAGGCTCCTGCTGACCTCACCTGCCTCTGGTCTCCTCTTCAGTTCGGTGATCGTGGGGAACACTCATGGGCAGCTGGCAGAAATTGACCTTCGGCAAGGTAGTAGACTGGGCAGCCTTGGTGGGGGGCAGGATTCCCTAGTGGGGCCATTGAACCTTCATTTAGTTGGCAGTTTGTCTGGGTTCAAATCCTGGTTTTAAAAGCTGTCTGACCTGTCCAGCCAGTATGGTTCAGTGGTTGAGCATTGACCTAGGCAACCAAGAGGTCACCAATTCGATTCCCGGTCAGGGCACATGCCCAGGTTGTGGGCCCAATTCCCAGTCGGGGGCGTGCAGGAGACAGCCAGTCGAAGTTCTCTCTCATGGATGTTTCTATTTCTCTCTTCCTCTCTCTCTAAAATCAATAAAGAAAAAATATATATTAAAAATATATATATTGATATGGAAAGTGATTTGAACAGTAAACACGCAATACTTTGTTGTTGGCTAGCTAGCTGGCACTGATTCCTCCCTCATTCTCTAGGACGCCTACTAGGCTGTCTGAAGGGGCTCGCAGGCAGCGTCCGGGGGTTGCAGTGCCACCCTTCAAAGCCTCTACTAGCCTCCTGTGGCTTGGACAGAATCTTGAGGGTACACAGGATCCAGAATCCACGGGGCCTGGAGCATAAGGTGAGAGCCTGCTGTTTCCTGTGTCCCCCACTCATGTTTCTGTATATTTCAGTGTGTTTGGCTCCTTAAAGCCTCTAATTTCTTGCAGGTTTATCTGAAGTCTCAACTCAGCTGCCTTCTTCTGTCAGGCAGGGATAACTGGGAGGTAAGCAGTTGGGTCTGGGAAGGTGGGAACCAAAGATGTGAGAGTTTATTTGCCTGTGGGGAGAAAAAGGAAGCAGCTGGAACACAAGACTGCCAAAGGTGACAGGAACATGGATGGGAGGGAATTGTTTCTCAGAGCAGGAAATGAAAGTGTTGGTACCTGGGAAGATTATTTCACAGATTCTCCTTCCCTGTGGGTCTGTTATTGTGTCCCTGACTCCTAAGCTTTTCTCTACTCACCAGGATGAGCCGCAAGAGCCTCCAGAGCCTAATAAATTGTCCCCAGAAGACACAGAGGCAGATGAACTTTGGGCCTCCTTGGAGGCAGCTGCCAAGCGTAAGCTCCCTGATTTGGAGCAGACCCCAGGAGCTTTCCAAACCAGACGGAGAAAGAAGAAGCGGCCTGGCTCTACCAGCCCCTAAAGGGCCTGAGCTCACTTTGTAAATAAACAACTGACACACATCATGACCCTGAGCCTTTTGTGATGGGAGAAATTAAAGGGGTGGCTGCTCTCTGAGCTGGGGCAGCGGGATACCTGACGTCACAAAAGCCTGGTGGGAGCCAGGTGGGCTGGAGTTGGGGGGAACGGAGTGCCGGTCCAGGCGGGCCATGGGCTGCTGCCAAAACAAGGACGTGAGCACCTCTGGTGGACAGGCCAGGGAGGTGGAATCGGAGGAAGTCGAGGAAGGTGGGAACAGACACCTGGGGTGCCCAGGGAATGTGAGGGGGAAGGTCCAGGAGGTTGGACGGGGTAGGGGAGAGCGGAGTTCAGCGGCCGCGTCATCTTCGCAGGCACCGAAGAGGTCGATGAGGACTCGCAGGAACACCGGAATCCAAAGTCTAACGAAAGCCTTTTGATCACCGTGCTGTGGCGGCGGCTATCCATGTTTAGCCATCGGGGCTCGCGGTCAACCAAGAAGCATTCAGTCCAGAAGCATGGGTGTATGTTCCAGGAGAACAGCCCGGAGGGAATCCAGGAGGAGCCAGAGAAGGGATGACCCCAGTACTGCTCTCAGTCCTCCCCAGCTTCCAGAGAATAAAGTTTCTAACGTGTACTTGCCAAAGCATTCATGCCTCTGCTGCCCCTTTGCCCGCACTGGGCACGGGCACCAGGAGGACTGCGGTCTCTTTAAGGCTCCTCCCCAGAGGCTGGCCCAGCCCTGTGGGCCCCGGCTCCAGTTTCTAGGGGGCGGGGTCGAGGCAGCAGCCTAGCCAATGAGAGAGCAGAGTCGTTCTTGCATTTAGGTGGGGGCGTGCCCCTAGAGTTGCCAGGCTCGAAAAGGCGTGGCACCGCCCTCTAGTCGCCGGGGGTGGAGTTACGTGTGGGTGACGTGGCGGCTTCTAGTCTTTGGTCGGGTTTCTGAGGCTTCCGCGCCGGGGGAGTAGGCGGTGACGACCTAGGAGACTGTGGCGGCGGCGGCGGCAGGTGGCGGAGAGGAGGTAAGACTTGCTCTGAGAGTGGTCTGGCTGCCGTGTCAGCTCGGGGCAGCGGCTTTCCGGGAGCGACGACGGGCTGGGGGAAGGGAACTAGGGGCGAGCGGACAAGTCCTGCCGACCCGGCTTGGGGTGAGCGAATACCTCGGTGTCCAATCAGGAAAGCCTCCATTGAGAAAGACGTCGGCATTAGCTAATCAGTAGTTACAGTCTACAAGGCGGGTCTTGAGCGGGGGTGGGATTTCCTGTTTCAAATAAACACCCAGAGATTTTTTTGCCCCTCCTCCGCCCACCGAAGTGTGTCCCCCTCGGAAGGTCCGTTACCATTTCTTCCTGAGGAATCGAAGGAACCCGTGGATTCAAGAGGGCCCAGTTAGGGCCTGGGGCAGTTGCACAGGCCAGCCTGGAGCCTTGGGGCCACGGGAAGTGCCTTTGGCCCTGTCTCTGCTTCAGGGCCCCCGACCCACGCTCTGGCTGCCAAGTTGGAAGAAGAGTGAGGAAGGGAACGGCTTAGGCTGGAGAGGAAGTGGGCCCTGCCCGTTGCCGGCCAGCCCCAAGATCTTCGGTTGGCTTTGGGGCCCAAGAATTTGCTGGTTGGGGGGAATTTGTGGGGAAGAGGCCTGGGGAATGACACTCTCCCCTCCACAACAGTCCGAGGTTATGCGTCTCAATGATCCCGCGGAAACGCTACGGGTCTAAGAACACGGATCAGGGTGTCTACCTGGGTCTCTCAAAGACACAGGTCCTGTCCCCTGCAACTGCTGGCAGTAGCAGCAGCGACATCGCCCCTCTGCCCCCCCCAGTGGCCCTGGTCCCTCCCCCTCCCGACACCATGTCCTGCCGGGATCGGACCCAGGAGTTCCTGTCTGCCTGCAAATCCCTGCAGAGCCGTCAGGTAAGGACCAGGAGTGGGAAAGGCAGGGGTGAGCTTCATGATCTGGGAGAGGCTGTGTTCCAGCACTGTTGATTGAAGTAATTCTTGCGGGAACCCAATGGAGAACTGATCAGGCTTGGAGGGGGCGGTAGGATCCATTAAGAGGTGGGCTATCTACCTAGAGGCAAACATACAGACTTTGTGTGTGAGGAACCTGGAGGGTAGGGTTGCTATTCCTGAAGGGGCATCTCAGGATGAGAGGTGGCTGCCATATATTTGGCTTGGATGAGGAACAGATTGTAGAAAGAGCCTTTATCCCAGAGACAAGCACTTTGAATTCTACTTCTGGTATAGTTCTACCACAAGTTTGCTCTGTGACCACAGGAAAGTTAGTTGGGCCTGAGTTTTTATATCTATAGAATTAAGGAAGTTTTCTAGATAATTTTTTTTTCCTTTATTGATTTTAGAGAGAGAGGAAGAAAGGGATAGAAACATTGATGAGAGAGAACATCGATTGGCCGCCTCCTGCACGCCCCCCATTGGGGATCGGGCCCACAACTTGGGCATGTGCCCTGACCAGGAATCAAACCGGCGACCTCTTGGTGCATGTCGATGCTCAACCACTGAGCCACACTGGCTGGGCTAGATAATTAATTTTTTTTATCAAAATCAATTTGGCATGCTTTTTAAAAAAATTGCATTCCTTTGTCTTGATCCAAACTTTCTGAATCTTAAGTGGGACCTTGAGTGACTGAAATTTCAAATATTTTTAGTGCTCAGCACTTGTTAATAACTGCTCTTGTATATGATCTCCAAGAGCTTTCCAGTTATTCTCTTTGATTCCCTGATTGAAAGAATAGAACGGTAATGTGAGCTATTTATTTAATGTTTACAGTGTACCAGCTATTTGGCTGAAACAATAGGAGGTGTGTGGATTGTCTTCATGTTATAGAAGAGAGGAAATGGAGATTCAGAATGATTTAAGTAACTTCCTCCAGTTAGTAAGTGATGAAGTCAAGATTTGAATCTAGGTCTTGTCTTCAAATTTGGGCTCTAAATTACTGTTACTACTATGCTTCTGCTAAAATTAGACCACTTGATAGAGAACACCATCAGTACTAGAAAGAGAGTATAGTGGACACCTGAGAACAGTGAAAACTGGTAATGGGGAGGGGGAACTAATGTTTCACTTCTTGACATTACTTTTCAGAATGGAATACAGACACACAAACCGGCTCTGCGTGCTGTTCGGCAGCGCAGTGAATTCACCCTCATGGCCAAGTGAGTTGAGAGAAGTTATTTGGGGGTGGGCTGATACAGTGTCTGAGGAAAAGTAGGCTTGCCTTTGATGGCCTTGGCTGTGAGGGGGCTGGGATTGTTGTGCTGGAGCTAATGTGGGAATAGGTCATCTTCTGCTTTTTCCCAAGTGTTCCCACTAATGCTTGTTTGTAGGCGCATTGGGAAAGACCTCAGCAACACATTTGCCAAGCTGGAGAAGCTGACAATCTGTGAGTGTTCTTGGGGTGTTTTAGAAATGGGGCAGTGAGCCAAAGAGGGTGGAGGAACCTGTACTCCCTGAGCCTTGTCTTTGATGTCATCTGTCATGGCTTCTTATTTATCTCTGCAGTGGCAAAGCGCAAGTCCCTCTTTGATGATAAAGCAGTGGAAATAGAGGAGCTAACTTATATCATCAAACAGGTGAGCTACTCCGCTATCAAGAGAGCCCCGATCTCTAGTCAGATCACTTCCATCATTTTCCATTGCCATGGAAGCCCAGAGCAAGTTTCTGGAGTCAGCACTAAACACTGTGCTCATCCATTGAGTCAGTAGACATTTATTGATCATCTATTGTATACAAAGCACTGTGCTGGGCACTCGTCTCACAAACAGGAGGCAAGATTCTGCCTTCAAGGGTTTATTGTCTAAAAGAGGTATCCAGCCCCATAACATGAATGGGAGGTAAATCTACAGAAAAGATCTTACTAAAGGATGAATGGGATAGTCTGGAATGCTGGGAAAGATTTGTTTTAGAGGAGGTCAAATCTGAGCTGGTTTCAAGGCTTGTATAGAGTCAGTGAACAACATTCCAGACAGAAAACTGTGTGCAAAGGTATGGCTCAAAAAAGGGAAAGTTTTTAAGTCTTTGCTCAGATGTCATTGCTCAGGGAGGCCTACCCTGATTGTACTGTTTAATAATCCAGCAACCAAAACTCTGATTTCCCTTACCTTGCTCTGTTTTTTTAGTTTGTTTGTTTTTTATGGGTTGACTGATTTTAGAGGGGGGGGGGGAGAGAGCGAGAAACATCAGTTTGTTCCACTTACTGTTTTTTGTTTGTTTTTATCCTCACCTGAGGACATTTTACCATTTTTTATTCAGATAGAGTGAGAGGGAGAGAGAGAGAGAGAGAAACATCGGCATGAAAGGGACACATTGAGTGGTTGCCACCCACACGACCCAACCAGGGCCAGGGACGAACTGCAACCGAGGTACGTGCCCTTAGCGGGAACCGAACCTGGGTCTCTCTGGACCGCAGGCCATTGCTCTAACTGCTGAGGCAAACCGGCCAGGGCTTTTTAATGTTTTTTAAAATATGTTTTTATTGATTTTTTTGAGAGAGAGGAAGGGAGAGAGAGATAGAAATATCATTGTGACAGAGAAACATAGATGGGGCTGCCTCTTGCACATTGAGCTCGCAACCTGGGCATGTGCCCTGACTGGGAATTGAACCGGGGCTCTCAGTCCATGGGACTATGCTCAGTCTACTGAGCCACACTGGTAGGCTGTTCTACTTATTTAGGCATTCATTGGTTGATTCTTGTATATGCCCAGACCGGGGATCAAACCCATACCTTGGCCCTGGCCGGTTTGGCTCAGCAGTTAGAGTGACGGCCTACAGACTAGAGAGTCCCAGGTTCAGTTCCCGCTAGGAGCACATACCAAAAAAAACCCAAAACCCATACCTTGGCTTATCAGGACGATGTTCTAACCAACTGAGCTACTTGACCAGGGCAGTTTTCTTTTTTATAGTACTTGATACATTGTAATGTTCTCTATAATTAATTATATTTATTATTTGTCTCTGTTCCCTGCCACCTACCTCATTCCCCCTCAAAGAGAGAGGAAAAAAATGTAAATGCCACAAGCGCAGAGATTTTTTTT